AAAGACTTGAAAATACAGGATCAAGTGACCACAAGTTCTACTCTGGTAGAAAAGTTTTAGAGGGAGAGGGTGACTCACACAAGAACCACCTTACTTTAAAGTCTAGTCTGCCCTAAAAGAGCACAAAAAGAGCCAAAATTTATTCACTTAATGTGGAAACATACAAAGCAATCTTCTAAGGTTAGAAGTCATTCCTCAAATTGGAGTGTACTGTTAGCCCAGGTATATGAACTTCTCAGTTCTCCCTTTACATGTAGCTCTCCATTCCAGGTAACTCTCCTAGATATTTGGGGCCATCTCCAGTGGTCCTGATGAATATCTGGCCACTGGACCCAGATGGCTCTGGAGGAGAAAAGGAGGCTGGCGACCTTACACAGCCCCCTCACTCAAATCAAGGTAAATTGCAAGTCATTGTCATCATCTCCCTGATGTCATGGTCCTTGTCAAGAAGGAAGCACAAATACAATCAACAATCTAGATAATTTGTAGAGCACTTTAAGGCTTACAAAGCACTTTACAGAAGGAGGCTAGGGAGGTTAAGTGACTTGTCCAGGATTACACAGCTTCTTAGGGTTTGAGATAGGATTTCAATTCAGGTCTTCCTTACTCCAGTACTTTACCCCTCTTTCCCCACTTACAAAATTGGGATAATTATGCTACCTCATAAGGCTGTTAGTTGTGAGAATCATAAGATTACACACAGAGTGCCTGTAAACATAAGCAGTTGAGGGGAGGGCGTTAGGTTAGAGGGCAATGAATGATGGTGCAAAGTGAGGATATTCTGATTCCCTCCAGGATCCTTCTGCCTCTATCTTTCCTTGTTTGGTGTTTAAAAGCTCTTCATAATCTGACTCTAGCTTACCTTTCTGACCTTATTGAACATTACTTCCCTTCCCAAAGTCTTATTTTCCAGTTAAATTGGCCTACTTTGCTCCTGAACCCAGCATTCTGTGTCTCACTGCTATGATTCTGAACAGGCTGGTCTCTGTGTCTGGAATATACTCCTCACTTCTGTCTCTTAAAATCCTTGAGCTCAGCTCTTCCTACTGGAAGACTTATTTTTACTTTCTTCTTCCTCAAACTATCTTGTCAATATCCTTAGCACTTAGTACACCACCTTGTACAGAATCAGGCCTTAATAACTACTTATTGGGTTGGCTTGTCTATTCAAATGTAAATTCTCATATTCATTATTTTTGTACCTTCAGGCTGTAGGAAATGTGTAGAGGACATCTGTGGCATGATGATATTGAATTCAGCTGTAGATTACAAGTAGTTTCATTGTGTTACTCTGAGACCAAACCAAAGTAATATTACGAAGATCCTGAATGCCTTACTGAAGTCAATTGTACATTTATTAAGCATTTAATATGTGCCAGGCACTATGCTAAGTGTTGGGAACAAAAAGAAAAGCAAAAAAGTCTTGCCCTTAATGAAGGCTACATGTAAATAAGTAGGCATATATAGTAATCAAAGGTAATCTGAAAGGGAAAATAGCTAGGGGAGGGGTAGACCAGTAAAGTCTCCAGTAGGTGGGATCTGAGGTTATTTTAAAACTGTGAATCCTGTACTGAGTAGGGACGGATAGCTATTGTGTCTTTTCACCACCTGACTCTTCATGACCCCACTTGGGGTTTTCTTGGCAAAGATGATGAAGTAGTTTGCCATTTCCTTCTCCAGCTCATTTTACAGATGAGAAAAATGAGGCAAGGGTCACACAGCTAATAGGTATCTAAGGCAGGATTTGAACTCAAGATTAGTCTCCCTGACTGTAGGCCCAGCTCGTAAACGAATAATAGAAACAGCACCCAGAAGAGAAGGGGTAATATTCCTATTCGTAATCTGTACTAGTTAAATTATATCTGGAACATTTTGTTCTTCTGGGAACCTCATTTTAGAGATGTCAACAAACTGGAATGCCTTTACAGAATTCCTAAAATAGTGAAGATGAAAACCATTATCATGTGAGGAAAAGTTGAATGAATTGGGGATATTTAACCTGGAAGAGAAAACTTGATGTGTGTATGGAGAGAATAACTGTCTTCAGTTATCAAAAAAGGTATTCATGTTAAAGAGGAATGAAACTTACTGTCCAATCCTTCAGAGGAAAAAACTAGGATTAACATGGAGCCATCTCCTGAATCTATATGCAGTTCAATATGAAGAATTTCCTAACAAATACAACTGTCTTAATAATTGATTGGGCTCATTATTGAGATAGTAGGTTCTCTTATTGGAAGTTTAAGCAAAGGATAGATGGCCACCATCAGTATATGGATGAGGGGAGGTCTGTATACAGGCCTATACATCCTGAGTTGGGTGGAAGATTGAAGTAGATTACCTCTTAGGTCCCTTTCCAACAGGATGATCCTAAACATTTTATGTCTTCCTCCAAGTTTGATGCAAATGAGGAACAAAACATGCCACTGTGTAGTAATGTTAAGACCTACTTCCATGCTGACATCAATCAATAATATGTAGTTTTTTAAAAAATGCTACACAATCACTTAATTGTACAACAATCTAGTCTACATATTTTCAACTTCTCTATAAGAAAATAACCTAAAAATAGGGTACAAAGATATTTTGTCTACACGCTTTACTGAAATTAAGACACAATATGATCATGGCACTCTAATCATTACAAAGTCACTTTGCACTATTTTCAGTATTGGTTCACTGCTATTTTTGCTTTTCAAATACTATTTTAAATAATGATTTGACTCATGGAATTCTGAATGTTTTACATCTATGGAGAGATGAATTCAACTTAAGACTACAGTCCTATGTGGCCACTGGCACTCCTAATACCAAAAGATATTCTTTAGAAAACCAAGCTGTCTGAATGACAGAAAGAGGGAGAAAAATAAGGTAGGGGAAGAAGTAGTGTTATTTATATGTGTCCTGTTACGCCTATGTGGAAAGCAAACACCTTCTAAGGGGAAAACTTAAATGTTTTAGCACTTTTTCAATCTTGGTTTATTTTTCGCTCTGCCATTTATTTTCTCAATCTAGACAACTGGGAGTCTTGGTTGCAGATGAGGGGAGAAAAAAAAAGCAACACTGGATTCTATCATGTCATTGCCAAAATCTTTTCACTTACATTTTCTTTCCCACTCTGCTTCCCTTCTTCACTCTTGTCTTGGTTTTTATCCCATTTCTCTATTCCTGATCCCTTCTTTATACTCTTAGTATCTTAGAGCTAGAAGGGATTGTAAAAGTCATCACCCTAATTAAGTCAATCTTGTCAATTTACAGATGAGGAGACTAAGGTACCGAAAATGTAAGTGACTTGCCCAAGACAAAAAGTGGCAGAGTTAGGATTTGAACCCATACACATTGCTCCTTTCAATGAACCACATTGTCTATACTTCAACACTCAAAACATACTCGATGTGAATTACCCACATACTTCAAGGATTTGGGATTTTGCTGACCTGGGTACACCCTTCACCACACTTAGTTGCTGAAACAAAACAAGTGGCAACCAAATTAGTAAGGACTTCTGGAAGTCCACTAACAAGGGGGATTTGAAGGCTTTCCTGCTCTGTAGGACCCTCAAGAGCTTGCTTTCTCCTGACATTGCCTTTGAAGAATCTCCTTATCAAGATGAGGCATAGCAGCTGATTGTTGATCAGTATGTAATTGATTTGATTTAGAACTAAATTTTAAATAAATTCTTGTCGAGCGATTGCTCAAACGAACCAAACTGCTAAATTTTCCTAAATGTAATGACTTTCGCAAATCTTAGAGCGCCGTATTAAGCTAAGCTATTGCTGTTATGGGGGGGGAGGAAGGGGAAAGCCAGCTGTGGGGGTTCTAAAATCTAATTTTAAGACTTTTGAGGGCTCATTTGCATTTCTCTTGCAGCCAGCCAAGCATCCTCCTAAGAACAAAGCAGTCATTGCACCAAGAAAGCTTTCTGAGTAGGCCTTGTTCACAGCCCAGTCACTGGGCGCCACGGGACGCAGACAGCGGGCTCACGGGACCGCGCGGTCGGCGCAGGCAACAGCGCCACCAGCACCGGCAGCACACTTCCGGCGGCGGCGGCTTCACGCTTGTGCCACCGGGGCGGGTAAGGTGCGAACCTGAGGAGCTGGGCGGGCACCTTTGCCAGAGCTCCCCTCACTTTACAAAGGAAGGGAAAGGCTCGGCTGCCCTCGGTCACTGGGCTGCCCTCCGGGCCGACGGTGCGCCGCCCCCGTGGAGCTCGCAGCGGGCCGACCTTGGGGGAATTGCTCTTGGGCCTGGGCCTGGGGACGGTATCCCCAGACACCAGTCTTAAAGGCCGCGCGCTTTGTCCCGGGGCTCTGTGGAACTGGTTGCTGGCCACACATCCTTCGCCTCGGTCGCTGTGGGGTTGTAACTGCAAGAGCTGGGCCATCTTGTAATTACGGTGTTACCGGGGAAGGGGCTTGGTCGCGTTGCGTCGCCCTCTCGGCCGCCCGCCTGCTCTCGGCTCCAGGCAGCCTCGCTAGGCCTCTGTAACCGACCACGTTGCCATGGTTCCTCGAGAATCTCCCGTAAGGGAAAGGTTCGAATAGGGAGCATGCGCACTCGCATCCGGACGTACATCGATGTGAGTCGGAGACAGGGGGCGTGGTCTTTGTCGGAGCGGGAGGGGGAAAGTCGGAGGAACAACTTTCCGGGCGTGCGCAGTCCACCCGGCGACGGCGATTCTGTCGTAGCAGTGGGGCCTGCGGCTGCGGAGATGGGCGCCGCTACTGCTGAAGCGGATCGGACTCTCTTTGTGGGTAACCTCGACATTAAAGTGACGGAGGAGCTGCTCTTCGAGCTTTTCCACCAGGTAAGGGGCTGGGATCAGCTCTCTTCCCCAGCTCTTTCGGTTTCCCCGCCCCTCGCCCGCGAAGGCCTCAGCCCTGCGGTCTTGGCTGGCGCCGCCTTCGCGCGTGCGTACTGGAGGCTTTTTGGCCCGAGGTTGGGGGTGGGGTTGGGGTGTCTTGGCCTGGAGCCAGAATGAAGTCTGGCCTTTGATTTCTAAGGGGTGAGAGCAGCTTCCTAGAGAGTGAAGTCTTGGGAATTGTGCTAGGTGTCAAGGGGATGGCTAGGCTAGGCCGAGAGCCGCTGTTTTAAGGAGCTAGACGGACCACGAACTTTGATCCAAGCGGAGAAGGCCCTGACCCTCCGGGGTTTTTGGTCTTTGACCACCTGTTAACTACTAAGATTGGACCTTTTAAAAGTTTCCTCGTTCGGTGGCTGCTTCACTTCTCACTTAGTTTGCTGGCAGCTCGGAAGAGGCGCGTGGTGGAGCGGGGAAGAGAGCACTGGACATGAAGTCCTGGGAGGCCTAGGTTTGGATTTTAACTGAAGTGCTTGTTAAGCCCTAATTGTGGGCAGTTCTTCTAACCTTAGTTTCCTCATCCGCAATGGGGGTAATAATATGAGTGGTTGTGAGGAAGGGGTTTTAAGGTGGCCACATAGATGCAGGTTTTATTACACCTAGCCAAAATCCTTTTCCGATAATGGGAAGTAACAATCTATGCCTGTTAATAAAAGTTTGGACTATGAGGTACAAGCGTAGAAATTTTATTTTGAAATCACATCACTTAATGCTTCCTCTGGAAACTTATTATTATGCTTTGCATTCCAAGGCTCATTAACTTAAAGAAGGCGTATTGGAAGTATCTAGAGTCTATTACCTTCATTTTTACAGATGAGGAAACAGGCCCTGAGAGGTTGTGATCTAAGAGGTTAAGTCACACACAGGTAGTAAGCAGCCGAGCTGGGATTCAAATCCAGGTCCTCTGACTAGGAATCCAGTATTTCTTCCACTACACTGCTTTGAGGTACTGGATATTTAAACCCTTCTAGAGGCAAACTGTACTTTCCACTAGGAACACTAAGTGGAGTAAACTATAATGGGTTTTCTGTGTGAGCCCTTCCAAATTAATTAGGTTTCGTTGTAGTAATAATCATGAGTTCTCCCCTCAGTTGAAATGCATGTACTATATATTTTTGAAGCCCTACTAGAAATGGTTACTTGCATTTTATTCCATTTTTAAAATTTACTTTATTTTTGTTCTTTACAACAGAAACATTTTTCAGAAGTTGCTTCATTTAACTTTAACTTTATTTTATTTTATTATATTTTTTTATTTGCAGGCAGGTCCTGTAATAAAAGTTAAAATTCCAAAGGATAAAGATGGTAAACCAAAGCAGTTTGCATTTGTGAATTTCAAACATGAAGAATCTGTTCCTTATGGAATGAATCTACTTAATGGAATAAAACTTTTTGGAAGGCCCATCAAAATTCAGTTCAGATCAGGTATCTGTTAAATTTTAAAGAATTTATTTTTAGGCAGAACAAAAAAAAATTCATCTCAACTTTACAGTAGTGAAATTTAGAATTCCTGAGTAATGAGGGACAGTGACAGCACCGATGATTAATATTATCTGTAATCCTAAAAACTCAATTTAGTCTTTTTCTTTAATAATGTTCTTAAAGATTAGAATTTCCATTCAGCTAAGAATGCAAATGAACAAAGAAGTGTCAAAAATACTTTAATAGTGAACCCTTGACTGATATTTCTAATAACCCACTCCTATGGATAGTCCTTCCAAACCTTACTCTTGTCCTGAGTGGCCATCCTGTGATGATGAGCTGCTTCTGCACATCTAGGTTAGATTATATAGGCATGTAGAATTCCTCCAATCCAGACATAAGATAGCCCCTACCTGTATTTGAACCCTTTCCATTTTATAGCTTTCACTGAAGTCTTAGAACTGGAAGGGACATCAGACAGCATCTAGTCTAACTCTCATTTTTTGGATGAGGGAACAGACTCCTGGCAAAGTTTTTATGTTCATTTCTAATCCATGATGAGACATTAGACTTAGGGCTTCAATGAAGACAATGATGATATCTATATTGATTTGTGTGCTCTTTTCCTTTTATTCTTGAGTCAATGCAAAGCTTTAAATGTATTCTCTTGGAACTGCTTTTTCATATTGTTCATTTTTCTTTGTAAGTTGCTCATTTAGGCCACTCAAATTTCATGTTGGTATTTTGCATGCTATTTTTTCTACCAGCTGGTGTAGGAAAACATAAATACTGCTTTTATTAAGAAATCTAGATTTTTAAAAAAATTCTCTTAACTTTAAGTGATTGCATGTCTTTTCTTTGTAAGGAAAGAATCATCTTCAGGAAATTACTCTTTCTGGGCTTTGTTTCTTTCCACAATTTATTTTTACAAATTATAATTGCTGGAGCTAGTAAGGATGAACTTTTAGCTAATTGTTCTTATGTCTGCTTTGGCAATTGGAATATTGCAGTTTGATAGCATCTTTACCCACTGGGTATTAGTATTATGTGTAACATTTTGTTTTGTTAACCTGTTTCTTACTCTGATGAAACAGTAGAGTAGAATTTTGAAATGCAAATTATTTCTAGTTTCTTAGATATTAAGGTTATACCAACTTAACTTTTTGAAGTTGGATGACCTTGGAAAAAAAAACAAATTTCAAATATGTTTTCTTCAGGAAGTAGTCATGCTTCTCAGGAGGTTAGTTCATCATATTCCCAGCATAATCTTGGGAATGCAAGTCCATCTAGCATACCACAGTCCACTTCAGCTTCCAGCAGGTAAGAACTACCAGTTCTGGTTAATAAAATTGGTTTTCTGTTTTTTGTTTTGGCCCTCCTCCCCTCCCCCCAAAAACTTTTTTCAGTAACCATCACATGATTAACATTAGATTGTAATAGTGGTAACTAGGTCTTACTCATCTTAGTATCTTTCTTACTACCTAGCATAGTTTCTTATACAGAGAAGATAAATGTCTGTTGAATAAATGATAAATAGGTTTAACTTAGGGAATATTGGGCTTATTAGAATATTGTTCTTAGAATCCATACTGTGAGACTGCCATATAATTAGGTCTGTTCGGTATTTAAGGAATTAAATATCCTTGGGTGGCATCTATGATATGAATCAAACATTTAGTGCCAAATTAAGTTTTATATTAAATTGTATTATACTGAAGCTTAAGTGTAATAAAGATTGAAGTTCTAGTAGCACCTTATATTTATAAAGTTTCTTAAGGTTTGCAAAACACTGTGTGTACTATCACACTGCAACAATTATCAGTCAGCCAGCATTTATTCTGTATCTACTATGTAATAGATGGTGGGGATATGAAGAAAGGGAAAGTCTCTGAGAAGCTTGCATAAATATATGAGGGAACTTTGGGAGGGAAGACCCTAGAAATTAGGGGTACACCAGGAAATGCTTCATGTAGAAGGGTGGGACTTAGGCTGAATATGGATGAAAGTAAGTTTTAAGAAGTATAGAAAAGGAGAGGATGAATGGAGGCAACCCAGGAATTCAGGAAGTGGTTAGCACATATGCACAGAGAAGAGAGAATTATGTAGGAGGAACTACAAAAAGGTCGGTTTGGCTCCTGCACTAAGCAGAGAAAGGGACATTAAGGATATGTAGGTTGGTACCAGGTTATGATAACTTCCAAATAAAGGAGTTTACAATTTATTTTAGAGGCTATAGGAAACCACTAGGATTTATCATAGACGTGAGTGGCATTTTCAGAGCAACACTTGAGGAAAATCACTGTGACAGCTTGGAGGATGAATTGGAGAAGGGAGAGATTTGAGGTAGGGAGACTATGTAGGCTATTGCAGTGGTCCATGCAAGAAGAGGTGATAAGAGTCTGAACTACAGTGGTGGCCTTGTGAATAGAGAGAAGGGTTGGGATAGAATTGGCAAGGTTTTGGCAGCTGATTGCATGTGTGGAGTTAGGAATAAAGAATAATGCTGAAGTTGTGAAGCAGGGTTAATTCTATAATAAAACCAAATTAGGTATTTATTTTTAAGTTACAAAGTTTTTCAAGTAATATTACAAAAAGTTAAAAATATCTAAAAAGCTTAGGACTAGAAGAATAATGTTGTTCCCTACTAGAAATAGAGAAGTTTGGAAGAGGGGTAGGCTTGGGGAAAAAGATGGTGATTCATGATGAGTTTGAGGTGCCTATAGATATCCAGTTGACAATATCCAATCGACATTTGGTGATGTGAGAATGAAGCTCAATAGGGAGCCTAAGCCTTGATCTATATAGATCTGGGAATCATCTGCATAGAGATGATAGGACACTAATTGAGAGAGTGAAGAGAAAGAAAAGGGCCCAGAACAGAACTTTAGTTAGAGGTATGAAATGGAAGATAATCTAGCAAAGGAGGTGGAGAAGAAGGGGTCAGACAGGAGGAAAACCAAGGGAGAACAGTGTCAAAAAAACCCAGAGAAGAGAGAATATCCAAAAGAAGAGAGGGTCAGCAGTGTTAAATGCTGCAGAGAGGTGAAGTATAAGGACTGAGAAAAAGCCTTCAGATTTTGCAGTTAAGAGATCATTGGTTTGCTGGTTTATGCTTATTTGTTTTTCTTGACTGTGCTTATTTGTTATAACTTTTTTTTCTTTCTTGGTTTTTGTTGAAGGGGCTGGGAGATTGACAGGGTGTGGCATTTGTAATGGTAAAGAGGGCTATTGAAACATTTCTAAAAGTACATAGAAAGTAACAGAAGAACTGTTTTGAAAGTATTATGTGGAATAATGGACTTTTTTTAAGGAAGCAGGTGGTACAAAATGGAGATTCACAGTTTTGAATAGAATATTTTGTGTTTATGGAAAGGCTGTTTTTTGTGTTTAAGTTCATAATAAAATATAAGAACTCTGGGGGGGTCAGGTCTAGGGATTTGGGTTGTAGATATGGTAAGTGCATGGTCTATGCCCTCCATTCTTAATAATAACAATGATAATGATCTAGCATTGTACATATAGCACTATAAGCTTTATAGGGATCTCATTTTTATCCTCATGACAACCCGGGGAGGTAGGTGCTATTATTATCCTCATTTTATAGATGAGGAAACTGAAGGAAACAGAGCTCAAGTGACTTGCCTGGTGTCATACAGCTAGTAAATGAAGTGGGATCTGAACCAATGGCCTCCTGACTCCATGTCCATTGCTGTGTCCACTATACTACCTAGCTGCCTACTGGAGCATAAGGCAAGGTCCAGTATCGAGAGGTTTGGGGGAAGAAGAGGAGACTAGATTTAGAGTTGGAAGGGACCTGAGAAGATGTCTAGTCCATACCACACCTCCTCCACCCTTATTTTATAGATGGGGAAATTGAGTCACAGAACAGTTAAGTCAGAGGGTCACAGCTAGTAAGTGTCTAAGGAGGGATTTAGCTTCCATCCAAGTCCAATGCCATCTCTACTAGTCTGTGCTGAAGAGACAGAATAGTCTCTAAGAAGAGCATGATAGAGATTCAATTAGTGAGGATTGAAAGTATTGCCTTGCTGCAGTGAGGGCCCAGTTGAAATTAGGTGACATAAATTTGTAGTGGATCTGGTAAGTTTGGTTGCTTGACTTCCTTTCTTAAGCTCGCTTTTGCAGCTCCTGAGTAGGAGGTGAGTGTCAGGAATAATTCAGGTTTGGGGTTGGCTAGGTATGAGTGATGATTAGACGAGAGGGGGCAAGAAAGTTGGATTGGTTAACTGTAGAGTCTATATTTCAAAGTGAGTAAAATGAAGTCATCAGGCGTGATGGCGTAAGAAAGTGTGGAAGGGCATAGGGATTAGAGAACCTAGGGAAGACACAGAATACATTCAAAAGGGGTAAAAAAGTATAGGGAGAGATGGGAAGGTAGGAAGTTGTGATCAGAAAAGAATTTCAGAGTTTTTTTAATATGAAGTGAAACACTTCTAGGTCTGATGGTGAGAACAAGGATAAGACTTTGAGGTGGAAGGGAGGAGTTGAAGAAATTGAGGAATTTGAAGGTTAGGGTGTTTGAATGAACATTAACATGTATGTCAGATTCCTTTAGTTTAAAAGCAAGAATTGGCACAGAGAGGAAGATTTGTGAACCAGGTACTAAATCTAAAGAAAGGAGGGAGAATGACCTGTAGGGTTCTGTAGAGAACAACCATCAGGACCTGAATTGGGTGATACATTTGGGTAGGGTGAACGTCAGAGGAAGAGAGGTTGCTGAATGATGATGGCAAATGGATAGTCTAAAAATGGCAGCAGGAACCAAGTTATATTCAGACTCCTAAAAGAGCTGTGTCTAGAGGTGATATGAGAGAAGGTCTAGTCATTTCTAGAGAGGGTGAATAGAGTTGTAGTGTCATCCATAGGAAACCAGGTTTCCGAATTCCAGAGGAGCATAAAAGAAAGAGGTCTAGAATGGAGAGAGGTTTGCTAATTCTGGATCACGGATTCTAGTGACAGTGACAGGAGTAAGCTGAACAGCACTGGGCCATGGGTGAGAGGATTGGGGAGTTTGGGAATTAGATAATGGGAGGTAGGGATTGGGGAGGGGGATAGTTTACTTTTGGGCAGTGGGTAATTGGGAAATGAACAAATGGTGGAAGTTTGTTAGCCATAGGGTTTCAGACTGAACAGAGGAGTGATGAGTGGGAATAGTTCCATGCTGGAGATGGCAGGTGAGTGTAACATTCATGGTCTCCACTCTACATTGGAGTCTTGGCAGGTCAGAGGTCCCATGTGCCCCGCTTGTAAGTAAGCACTGGTTTAGTTATTTTCTCTGATTTTTATTGGGTGGTTCAGAAGGGTGTTTTAGAAAGTTGGTTGATATGTTTGGTGACATCAGCTGTTTAAATTTTTAACCTACCCTAGCCCTTGAATTAATTGTAATTTATATATTGAAGTTATGCACTGCACGTAGCAAGAGGGACAACCATTGGACAGCCCATATAAAGTTGTAAACATACTGTCAAGAAATCTGAAAGGCCTGAAGCATGGTGGGTGAACAAACATCTCCCCCTTTTATGAGAAGAAATAGGAGTCACACAAAATGAAAAGAAATGGATAAGTTATAATCTGTGTCATTGGTGGGAGATCCCATTGAGATCACAGATCACCTGACAGAGGAAGTTTGGAAATAATGGGTTAGAGCTTCAAGAATCAAAGTCCTGTGTATATTGCTCCTTTGTATATAATGATGAATTCTTTTTTGGAGTAGATACGAAAGGAATATGGATAACTTGACATCTGGATATAATTCTGCACAAATGCTACAGAGGTCTTTCTCATCTCCAGATAATCTTCAAAGACAGGCTGTGGTAGGCTGTTTTTATAATCTGAATTTTGTTAATCCACAAACTGGTTGTAGTTTAAATGTTGATAAAAAGTTTTATCATGAGTTATTGTATTCATGTGTTTTCTCAAGTTGGAGAGTTAAAACTTTTTTAGTTAGATTTCATAAATTTAATTTGACATTTAGTTAAATCAATACACACACATAGACATACATATACATATATACATACACATATTTTAGGGTTTAAGAGCAGAATTGTATTTTCTGTTTGTTAACATAATTAACTATAACTCATAGCAACTTAGGCTTCTGTGCCACTTACTTCTTACATTTCTGTTTTTCTTAATAGTATTACCATTCTCTGTCACCTAGTTTGAAACCTTAGATTCCTCCTTTCTTCTTTTATGTACCTTGCCTTCTATATCTAACCATTTATCATATTCTGTCAATTTTTCCCTTCAAAATTCCTACAAAATTCTTGTATCTATTCCTTCGGTTTTGGCTTTTATTGCCTTACACCTGCTATATTGCAGTAGTATCATAACTTATGATAAAATCAATCCATCTTGCTTATTATTGACATTATCTTAAAGCACAGTTTATAGTGCCTTTACCTGTAGTCTATAGTCTTGCCTCCTTGTCTTGGCATTGTCTGCTTTACAATCTGTCCCCAATCTAAGACAAGTACACAAATATGATGCTCAGTGACAGTTCCTTCCTCAGTGAGAAGTAATCTTTTTGTTCTGTGCCTATTTTTTACACTTAGACTACTCAATTTTATATTGTATCATATTGATATACATGTCTTAATTCCCCTTTGAGGCTTTATAAGCTCCTTTTGGGCAGGTTCTTTCTTAGTTATCCTTTTATTTTTGTCAATGCCTTGTATATAATTGGCACTAAAACACTGATTAAATGGCTTATTTCAATTAGGACCATAACCTAAAAATCTCTTTTGGCAGATATTTTGTATGGGCTTTCTTCTTCCATTGTGATGAATGATTTATCATATCTTTTAATTTTTTTTATTTAATCTTTTTCTTTAAAATTTTTGTCCCCTCAGATGAACAACGTTCTGTGGCAGCAGCAGGGATCATTCAGTGGGAAGTTTGTGCCTCAGCACTTGGATCAGCCTAATTTTACACCCTCAGGGCAGCAGCATGGTCATTCATTTAACCTTTCTTCAAGCTCCCAGTGGTGCCAGGATACACCAATGTCACAGAGAAAAACCAGGCAGAACTCCCATCCCTACCAGTCAGATAGGCTGTATAGCCGTGAGCAGCGTTATGGGGATCATGGATCTGACCATCATTATAGAGGGAACAGAGATGATTCCTACTATGAAGATAGGATCCATGATGGTTGGAGCCATGACTATGATAGCAGAAGAGAAAACAGTAGGGATGGAAAATGGCGCCCATCTCGGCACTAAGTATTGAGATGAACTTAAAAAAAAAAAAAACAGGGTCAGATTAGACCCTTTTGGCTACGTTGATGTGGAAATGACTTCTTTGAAAAACTGTAGAAAACAGCTCTGAAAGTTGTTACATTTCCTTTTTAAAAACTTTTAACTTACCTGCAGTATAATACAGAGAGAAAAAAATGGTGGTTCCAGTTTTATTATATTAACAGCCTTTCACCTCAGGGTTTTATGAAGAGGAAAGGTTTTTTTGCAGAAAACAAAGTGCCACAACTCCTAATCATTGTAGTAAGTTTAGGAAAAGGGGTGGATTGTAAAGTTTGGTTGTATTATAAAGAAAATATTTTAATTATTTGTAACTTTTTGTAGTGTAACACAGTTGTCTTGGTAGTAAATCCTATTTTGGTGTGTGTGTGTAGTAGAATATACATCAAAGTTGATAGTCCAAAATGGCTATCTGTATTTTGTTATTAAACTGGAAAATACTACTTTTCAATGATCCATTTTACTGAAAATAGTATTCAGGCAGATATCCTTGTAAAATTTGGGGATAAATCATATTGGTTTACCTTTTGATAGAACTTAAATGAGTTCTGTAAAGTTTGTTTGAGTTTATCTGCATTGAATCGCACTGTATATTCATACATGTACATCAGTAGATTTATTCTAAAAATTAAGAATTTTCATGAAATCATGTTTGATGTGACTAAAAAATTACTCAGGAAGTATTAAATCTCTTCAAGGGTATTTTTTTTTAACATTTAAAAGACCCTAATGATACTCATGTATACCCCCTTTTTTTCCCCCAGGAAGTTTTATCAGGGCATAAGACAAAGTGGTTATACATTTTATTGAAATATGCTTTTGAGAGTGAGGAAGGATCTCCCAGCCCTGCCTTCTCTGCCTGAGTCACTTCACTGTTTTTTCATTTTTAACGTCTTTAAGTGCTCAGTGGATATGTAGGGGTGGTTTTTGTTTGTTTTTTGTTTTTTGTTATGGGAACTGTACTTTGCTTGTCTGTTTGATAAGCACTTGAGAGAACTTAGTCTTAAAAGTCATCAGATTTTAAAATCTTGTTTAATGAGAAGTTTTTAGATGCCAGAATTATACTGTTTCCATTTACATAAGAAATAAACTTTTTGTAAAATCACATTTCTTCAAAAGTTTGGACCATTTTTGTTTACACAAGAACTGAGCCATTTCTTTCATGTGGTTTTTTTTTTGTTATAAGACCTTTGCCAGGAAAGAGTTTTGTTATCTTGCCACTGAATTCAAAAAATTGCACATGAAAAATTAGGCCTGCCACTTTATTTCAGTTGCATACAGCAGTTAGTTGAAAGTTAAAGTTAATAATTTTAACTTAATGTCTATTAGATACGCCCTGAAATAAATCTCATATACTTTTTTATACTTGGCTATTATTTAATCAATAATTCCATCACTGTATACTAATTAAAAGATTATTTCTACTCTCTAGGAGTTTAAGTGCAATGATTTTACTTTTCCAAATTTTCATATCATATAAAGCACTTTGTAAAACTTAATATGCCAGCTATTATTATCTGTATTATGGAAAAATTTGGACCACATGTGTCTACACATATATGTAGGAATACACACACATATAAACAATATATAAATGCATATAAAGTACATAAATAAAAACTATAGGTATTATTCCCATTTTACAGATGATAGGCTCAGAAGTTAAGTGACTTGCTAATGTACAGCTAGTAATTTTTGGTGTCTGGATTTGAGCCCAGGTCTCCTGACTCCCAGTGCAGTGCTCTTTCCACTATGCCAACTGATGGCTCTGATAGGTGAGTTTTTGTCTTATCTGGCCTGGAGCCAGTCCCCACTTCACTTCTGGCCATCATCTTCATTAGCTGCCCACTTCCCAGTGCAATGTTGGATTCAGCCCCTGGGTCTTCCAGCTCTTATAAATGAGTTATCACCTTTATCTTGCTAGGAATGAGGCCTCCGTGCCACTTCTCAGCAACTATCTCCACCCCCTATATTCCTGCTTTTCAGCTTCCCTTTATATGTTGTCTTCCTCCATTAAGTGTAATCTCTTTGAGGTCAAAGACTACCTTTGCTTGCTTGTATTGTATCCCAAGTATATCAAACAGTACCTGGTACATAGTGCTTAATAAATATTTTTATGCCTTTAATTATGTAGTCTATGCCTTTAATTATGCAGTCTATGAAAATTTTTTTTGACTGCTGCATCATATTGTCTTATTTGAGCCTGTAGTGCACTAAAATCTATAGGTCTCTCAAAAACTAGTGCTTCGCCACAGTCCTGCACTATCTTGCACTGTTCTACATTTGGGTAGCTGATTTTTTTTGACCCAAATGTAAGATCCTACATTTAACTTGATAGGATTTTATCTCAGATTCAGATATTTTTTTAACCTGTTGAAGTGTTTTTGGATCATAACCCTGCAAATATAATAAGTATGTCATCTATGTCAAGTCATTGATAAAAATGTAGCAGCGCAGGACTGAAGGTATCTTTTTCTCTTCCCATTCCTGAAATCCCCAGTCACCCTAGTACTATTCCCCATTATCACTAGAGTAATGGTTTTCAAACTGGTTTTAGGACCACTTCATATTCTTAAAAGTTATTGAGGACCACCCAAAGAGTTTTTGTTTCTATGGTTTATATCCATATTTACTGTATTGGAAATTAAAATGGTTTAGTATTGTTTTGAATATAGTTTTAGTCCCTGGAAATGTATGCAGCACCACCCCTCTCTGTCCCCCCCTTCACCCCTGCCATCCTTTTGGGAACTGCTACAATAGAACAAGAAAGGAATCAGAGAACAGCAGATTCAGCAAGCCAGAAGCTGTCTACAGCTTAGGATTTTCTTCTTTGCTACTTTAGATTTTTTTTTAAACGCTGAATTTTTCCTTAGACAAAAAGAGTTTTTGAGCTGCTTTATCTTCTCTGATAGGAGGGAACGCCACAATCACCCAATCTTTTTCCATCTAATCAGGAAGTAAAATAGAAATCTTCTTTGATCATTCTTCTTAGTAATGACCTTCAGACTTCATATAGCACTTTATTTTATATACCTCTAATACACATTATGTGTTCAAACACTACATTAAAATGTGAATTTTTAATGTATGATCAACCACACCTTGCCTGATGCTTTTTTTGTGATAGTAAATAGAGATTGAGCTTGGAGTGCTGGACCTGGATTCAAATTCACCCCTGACACTAACTTGTGGGCAGGTTACCTAACCTCTCTGAGTCTTGGATGAGTCTCTGATACATTATTATTGTTCTCACATCTATGACATCACAGACCTTTGAGGATCTACTAGTCTAAGCTTCCTGAAAGCAAGGACCATGTGCATTTAAAATTTGGTCTCTTTTTAGTATCCAGCTCAGAACTCCACATAACATAGGTATTTGATCACTGCCACCCCTAGAGCCATAGGCTTGTCCTGGCTCCTTTCCAACATTTTGCATGGAGTAAGTAGTAGTAGAAGTTCAAACTTGGGTGTCAGACTAAGACTTCTGATATCCCTTCATAGTCTGATGTAGAGCTATTCCAAGCTTAGGTTTGTTGCCAGTCATGTATATATAATAACATGGAAAGAAATTTGGAAGCCAAAATTGAGGTGGAAGATGATGCCTTGCTATAGCTCTACTTTTTTTGTTTTTTGTTCCCTCCCCCCCATTTAAATGGTAGAACTACAGGATCCCTGACTTAGGCATTCCTGGACTGTTTTTTGAAAGTGCCCCTAAAGTGATCTTGAAGGGTTGAATATTGGCAGTCAGGAATCGATGGGAGGAAAACCCCAAGTCAGATAGAAAACTGAGGCAGAAAAATTACTTCAGGTGAGTGAGGAGGAGGACCTACATGATGTCTTAGCTCAGCTGCTTAGCTGGCTGTTGTGTATTCCAGAAGAGCTTGGCCCGGAACATAAGACTTTGCTTCTACAAAGAGCAGCCACACAGAGCTGATCTTTGACACTGATAGGCTCCTCTCTTTCTAGGGATAAAAGGACTGGGTTTTTCCATACTTGGAAGTTGTTCTTGCTGTTTGTCCTTCGTTCTTGAAGAGGAGGGCCGTGTGGCAAAGAATTGGAAATTGAGGGGATGCCCATCAATTGGGGAATGGCTGAGCAAGTTGTGGTATATGAATGTAATGTAATACTACTGTGCTATAAGAAATGATGAACAGGCAGACTTCAGAAAACCTGGAAAGACTTATATGGTCTGATGCTGAGTGAGGTGAGCAGAACCAAGAGGACTTTGTACACAATAACAGCCACGTTATGCAATGACTAAGATGGTTAAACAACTCTTCTCAGCATTACGAGGATCTAAGACATCTCCAGAGCCCTCGGGATGGAAAATGCTGTTCACATTCAAAGAAAGAACTATGGAAGTCGAATCACTGTCACTTATTTTTACCTCCTGTTGAGTTTTGTTTCATCTTTCTGATGGTTCCTCCTATTGGTTTTAATTTTTACTTGCAACTTCACTAATGTGAAAATATGTTTAATGGGTACGTAAATGTAAAGCCTATATCAAATTGTGCGCCATCTTGGGGAGGGTGGGGGGGAGGAAGGGGGAGAAAAAATTTCAACTCAAAAGCATATGGGAGTGCTTGTTGATAAGTCAAAATAAATTAATAAAAAAAAATGAAAAAAAAAAGAGGAGGACCATGGCATCAAGGCTTACAAGCGGATTGGGTTTAAATGAGGGAGGGCTGTGCAAAGTCAGCAGCCTCACTTTGTCCTCCAGAGATAATCTGGGACTAGAGGCAAGGTGTAGATAAGGATGACTGAAGATGGCCCCAGATGCAGTGGGGGAGCTTGACTTTTCCAATGACCAGGTCTTTCCCACGTCTCAGTTTAACTGAGGCAAAGCCCTTTCAGTGATTCAGGCTAGGTTAAAAATAAGACAAAGAGGGGGCAGTTAGGTGGCACAGTGGATAGTGCACCGGCCCTGAAGTCAGGAGGACCTGAGTTCAAATGCAGCCTCAGACCAAACACTTGACACTTACTAGCTGTGCGACCTTGGGCAAGTCACTTAACACCAATTGCCTAAAAAAAAAGAAAAGAAAAGAAATGATACAAAGATAGGCCTCCTCTATCTAGTAAAAAAAAAAAAAAACAACCAACCCAAAAAACCAAAATCAATCTGGAAGAGGAAGACTCTCAGGGTTTCTGGCCAAAAACTGAAACAGTTGCTATTTACATTCACTCTGAGCTATATGGGCCCAAACGATGACCAGGTGGGGCTTGGTCTTTGACCTATTGTTGGCCAGTCAGTGAGAGCCCGAGTAATTTGGTCTGGCTATGAAAATGACAGGGTTATCTCATTGAAAGAGCTAAAATCTAATAAACCTTTATGCTCTCAGGCAAAAAAGCTGGTGACTGAGGCCATTCCTTTTAGAGAATAGCCCCTCACCTAAACTCTAGCTGAAACCTAGAAGCTTGTTGCAGAGAGAAGCTTCCTAACCATATATCTAGCAGATTGCTGCCTAGCAGAGGGTCCACCAAAGGTTTGCCTGGCCCATGACACTATGCTCTGGAGGGAAGCAGGTCCAGTGGGAGCAGCAAGATGACATCACTAGAAAACATTGAAAGGGTGAGTTGCCTTTCCATACTTTTGCCTTGGTCATGAATTATCTGTATGTGCCCCTCCACATGCATGTCCTGTCTTCCAGGTTATTTCCCTAGGAGTATCCCCTCTTCTCACTGATGATGTGGGTACTTGTGGGAAAGGGCTCTGACTTTGTGAGGGAAATATTTTGTTACTTTTATTACAATGCCATTTCACTGAATTCCTTTTAATTTGAGCTGATTAAATCAGTAGTAAGCTTCTGCTGATTCTTCCCTTTTCATCATCTCTCCCATCCAAGAGATCATCCAGCATCTGGGAAGCAGCATGGTGCAGTGGACAGAACGTTGGACTTGGAGTTAAGCAGACCTCCTTGGACAGCTGAATGACCCCGGGCAAGTCAGCTAAACTCTCCTTCTCAGGGTCCTTCTCTGTAAAATGAGGGAGTTGGGCCTGATCATCTCTCAGGTCTCTTCCAGCTCCAAACCTATGGTGCCATAAGATCTGGACTTGAATACCACCACCCAGGCTTGTTTTGTACCTGTGGTCAATTCATGTGGTAGCAGGTATAGGTTTTATGGGAAAGAGAAAACTGAAACTGTGTCATCTAGGCATAGTCCAGCTGACAGAACTGGAGGGAGTGGGGCTTAGTCGGCAGAAGAAAACATTTAGCAAGGACAAGATTAGCGTTCTCAAATTTTTGTAAGGTTTCCATGTGGATGAGGGATTAAATAACCTAATATTACTTGGCCCCAGAAGGCAAATATTTAGGACCAGTAGGCAGGAGTTAGAAAGAAAACTGCCTAATAAGAGCTGTCTCA